CTTCCCTCTCGGTGGCTAATGAGAAGTTCTTCTGGCCTTTCCAATTCTGTAAGTTTGACTTCTGGGAAGAATTTGTTCAACTTCTCAGGTTGAATTACTTGATGCACTCTGGCGATTTCATCCAAGCCGTAGCAGACCATTTCATGAGCTCTCTCTGTCCCTTTAGGTGTCTTGATTCTGACTTTGAGGAGATACCTTTGTGTGTTCACCTCCATGGTCATACCACCAACCCCATGCACAACTAAAGTTATCTTCTCATGTCTTAACCTCAGTCTTTCAGCAGCCTTATGGGTAATGTAGTTTGTGTCTGAAGCAAGGTCAATTAAAGTCCCAATCTTCTGCCCTGAGTTTGCCGTGACTTGCATCAACATCATGATGACAGGAAGTTCAGAGAGCCCATTTCTCTGCGGTAGCTCAGACTGGCCTGAAGCATCGAGTGTCACTGCGGTTTTGTTGGTGTTGGTGAAAGCCTTTCTGCATCGATCTGCCATTTCCTGGGAAAGTTCAGACAAGATCTCCTCTTGTTCCTCCGTTAGCTTGCTTTCACCTTTGCCGTCTTTTCCACTCTTTCTCTCTTCCCCTCTTTTGACTTCTCCTTTTGGGCAGAGGAAAAAATGGTGGTCTGGGGCACCACCTTCCCTTTTACAGTCTTTGTTTCTGCATAGGAAACTGTCTCTGCAGTATCCATCTTCATCATGGCATCCGAGACATTTTCTGCATGCTCCCAGCTTTCTCAATACAGTTTTCTTTTCAGGTAGCTTAAGTCTTTTGAACTTTCTACAGAACAAGATTTTGTTGTTGTGCCCACTATCACCACATACACCACATACCTCATCAAGCTCTTCTTTCTTTGTGGTTTTTGTTGAGGCAATCTTTCTGTCATACTTCTTGTCCAAACGATCTGATTTTTCCACCTTCTCCACAGTTTTGAGCTGTTCCAGTTCGAGTCTCTCTAGTATTTCTTCTTGACTTTTCAGGAACTTCAAGAGCATGACAAAGTGGTTGTCTGATGTGACATTGTTTCTGGGTTCAACCATGAACATCACCCAGTCTCTCTTAATGAAGTCAGGCAACTTGCTTTCAATGGATCTAATTACCAGTGGGTTATTTATGGCTCCAGAGTTTCCTAACTCTGTGAGATCTGCTAGAGCCTTCTCCACTGACTGTATGAGATCAATGACCTTTCTTGGTTGGTTCCCTTTCACATGTGGCATCTTCTCCAGCTCTTCCAGGATTTCCACTATGATGGTTGACTTGTTGCCATACCTGTTCTCCAGGACTCTGAACATGTCATCGGCAGTGGTGTAGGTTGAAATTCAGGTCTCCTTAACTCAAGCCTGTAGTAGAATGCTCTTACGTCCTTGACTCTTCCATCTAATTCATCCTTTAATCCTACAGGGATCCATCGCTCCCATGTTGACATTGCTGAGATGGCCTCTTTTATTCTCTTGTCCAAGAGAGCGAGGTGCACTTCATAGCCCTCTAAATTGGCACTTTCCACAGGTACATCAGCCACTTTATCATTGGCTTTTTCTGCTTCCAGGATTGCCACAAGAAGTTCACTCCTTCCATACCTCGACCACAGGTTTGTTTGAACAATGTCTCTTATCTCCGCCAACTTTGTTTCACCTTCATTTACAGATCTATCAATGTCAGCCTCTTGCTGTTCATTAAGACCTGGTTCCTTATCCTCAGTCATGTCAGCCTCCAGTCCAATCCTGTAGTCATCATTGGCATCGAGCATCTTTCTGAAACAATCTGAAAGCTTAGCGAATTCCTCGTTTAACTCCACTTGAAGCATTTATTTTTTATTTATTTTTATTTCACCTTTATTTAACCAGGTAAACCAGTTGAGAACAAGTTCTCATTTACAACTGCGACCTGGCCAAGATAAAGCAAAGCAGTGCGATAAAAACAACAACACAGAGTTACATATGGGGTAAAACAAAACAAAGTCAAAAATACAACAGAAATACATATAATATACAGTGTGCAAATTTAGCAAGTTATGGAGGTAAGGCAATAAAATAGGCTATAGTGCAAAATAATTACAATTAGTATTAACACTGGAATGATAGATGTGCAAGAGATGATGTGCAAAAAGAGATACTGGGGTGCAAATGAGCAAAATAAATAACAATATAGGGATGAGGTAGTTGGGCGGGCTAATTTCAGATGGGCTGTGTACAGGTGCAGTGATCGGTAAGGTGCTCTGACAACTGATGCTTAAAGTTAGTGAGGGAGATAAGTGTCTCCAGCTTCAGAGATTTTTGCAATTTGTTCCAGTCATTGGCAGCAGAGAACTGGAAGGAATTGCGGCCAAAGGAGGTGTTGGCTTTGGGGATGACCAGTGAGATATACCCGCTGGAGCGCAGACTACGGGTGGGTGTTGCTATGGTGACCAATGAGCTAAGATAAGGCGGGGATTTGCCTAGCAGTGATTTATAGATGGCCTGGAGCCAGTGGGTTTGGCTACGAATATGTAGTGAGGACCAGCCAACAAGAGCGTACAGGTCACAGTGGTGGGTATTATATGGGGCTTTGGAGACAAAACGGATGGCACTGTGATAGACAACATCCAATTTGCTGAGTAGAGTGTTGGAGGCTATTTTGTAAATGACATCGCCGAAGTCAAGGATCGGTAGGATAGTCAGTTTTACGAGGGCATGTTTGGCAGCATGAGTGAAGGAGGCTTTTGTTGCGAAATAGGAAACCGATTCTAGATTTAAAGCATGCTGCTTGCTCCTCTTGAAATGAAGTTGGCTTGTCTGGTGAAGCTGCTTTTTGCAGTGGTCCTCTCCTTTTTGAGCTGCTGGACCGACTTCCCCAGGACAACTTCCGCCATCTTGACTTCCTCTGCGTCAACAGCTTATCTATGGATCTGAAGCCGTTTATCCTCAGGGCCAGGCCGCTCCGCGTGGTTTACAACTGTCAAGTCCTACTCTTGTTCACCATCCAAAGGACACAGGGACAACTCAAATTTCCGACTCAATCTTTTTTTTTTTTTTTGCTTTCAGTTGATTGGTCTGTCCAGTAAATTAGCCAGTAAATTAGGTTGTAAACCTTTAAAGACAGAACAAAAAGTTACCATTTTAATTAAACATTTTAATGAACTTAAATTAGTTAAAACATTTAAATAAACATTCTAAATAACTTAAATGAATTAACCATTTAAGCCTTTTACCATTGGCGTCTTTGGACTGAACCTGTGAGTGAACTTGGAGTCTTCTCTCTGAAGTTTGTTCTTCTGAATGACTGAGCCCCTCCATGCCTTCACAGGTGCTCCACATCAGTGAAAATGACTGATCAGGTGACAAGCAGCCGGTTTGCTGCTGCTGGTGCACTCTGGGAAGTGTAGTTCTTTGACTCACTCCTGAGATTCAGCTCAACAGTATGCTTAGGGTCATTGTCCTGCTGGAAGGTGAACCTCCGTCCCAGTCTCAAATCTCTGGAAGACTGAAACAGGTTTCCCTCAAGAACTTCCCTGTATGTAGAGCCATCTATCATTCCTTAAATTCTGACCAGTTTCCCAGTCCCTGCCGATGAAAAATATCCCCACAGCATGATGCTGCCACCACCATGCTGATGGTGTTCTCGTGGTGATGAGAGGTGCTGGGATTGCGCCAGACATAGCATTTTCCTTGATGGCCAAAAAGCTAAATTTTAGTCTCATCTGACCAGAGTACCTTCTTCCATATGTTTGGGGAGTCTCCCACATTCCTTTTGGTGAATTCCAAATGTGTTTGCTTATTTTTTTCTTTAAGCAATGGCTTTTTTCTGGCCACTGTTCCATAATGCCCAGCTCTGTGGAGTGTACGGCTTATAGTGGTCCTATGGACAGATACTCCAATCTCCGCTGTGGAGCTTTGCAGCTCCTTCAGGGTTCTCTTTGGTCTCTTTGTTGCCTCTGATTAATGCCCTCATTGCCTGGTCTGTGAGTTTTGGTGGGCGGTCCTCTCTTGGCAGGTTTGTTGTGGTGCCATATTCTTTCAATTTGTAATAATGGATTTAATGGTGCTCCGTGGGATGTTCAAAGTTTCTGATATTTTTTTATAACCCAACTCTGATCTGTACTTCTCCATAACTTTATCCCTGACCTGTTTGGAGAGCTCCTTGGTCTTCATAGTGCCATTTTCTTGGTGGTGCCCCTTGCTTAGTGGTGTTGCAGGCTCTGGGGCCTGTCAGAACAGGTGTATAGATACTGAGATCATGTGACAGATCATGTGACACTTAGATTGCACACAGGTGGACTTTATTTAACTAATTATGTGACTTCTGAAGGTAATTGGTTGCACCAGATCTTATTTAGGGGCTTCATAGCAAAGGGGGTGAATATATATGCACGCACCACTTTTCCGTTATTAATTTTTTGAATTTTTTGAAACAAGCTATTTTGTGTATGTCCATTACATGAAATCCAAATAAAAATCCATTTAAATCACAGGTTGTAATGCAACAAAATAGGAAATATGCCAAGGGGGATGAATACTTTTGCAAGGCACTGTATTTTCTGGCAACTTCTCTGGTGGACATTCCTGCAGTCAGCATGCCAATTTAACGCTCCCTCAAAATTTGAGACATCTTTGGCATTGTGTTGTGTGACAAAACGGCACATTTTAGAGTGGCCTTTTATTATCCCCAGCACAAGGTGCACCTGTGTAATGATCATGCTGTAATGATATGCCACACCTGTCAGGTGGATGGATCCTTTTGGCATCGGATAAATACTTATTAACAGAGATATACAAATAAAATATCAACAACTTTTTAGAGAAATAAGCTTTTTGTGCGTATGGCACATTTCTGGGATCTTTTATTTCAGCTCATGAAACATGGGACCAACACTTTACATGTGTTTATATTTTTGTTCAGTGTAGTATCCAGCAGCAAGTCTGAAACTCTGTTCCCCCTGAATATCACCATTATATGACCATCAAAACCATCCGTGTTTACCTGAACTTGTCTGTGAACTTGTCCCTGTGTCTGCCTTGTCCCTTCAGCCCAGCCAGAGTGGCTGCAGGTGATGAGTGACTCTGAGGTGGAGATCAGCTCAGAGCTGCACTGGACCTGTGTGGCCGCTGGCAAACCAAGACCCTCCATACACTGGCTACGTAATGGACAGCCCCTTAGCACACAGGTATACACACACACGCATGTAGACATACACACTCACAAGCCCATATCTCTCATTTCTCCCCTCCCTTATGTGATGTTTTTCCCCCTCCGTATTAATTTACCTATGTCTCCCTCCATCCCTTCCTCTATCTCTCCATCATCTCTTCCTCCCTCTATCTCTGCATCCATCCATCACTCTGACATCAGGACCGAGTGGAGGTCAACGGGGGTCGTCTGAAGATCATCAACCTGGCACTGGAGGATTCTGGGATGTATCAGTGTGTGGCTGAAAACAAACACGGCACCATCTACTCCAATGCCGAACTGAGGGTGCAAGGTGAGAGGTCAGGGTTCAAGGGTTAAAACCAAACCCCATAAACACTGCAGCCCAAGAGAAATGCAACTTAACACCCGAGTTCTAACCTCTCTATCCCCCTGTCCTTACCCCTGTGTTGTGGTCTCCAGTCCAGGCCCCAGACTTCCGCTCCAACCCAGTGAGGAGGTTGGTCCCAGCAGCCCGAGGGGGGCAGGTGATGTTGGAGTGTCGGCCGCGAGCCGCCCCAAAACCCACCCTGTTCTGGAGCCGTGGCACTGAGCTCCTCACCAACAGCAGCAGGTACACACACATACACAAACACACACCTGACCCTGAACCTCACTATAACCTTGGATTCAGACTTACTGAAGCTTGATTCAGGAAGCCTCAACAGGTGTGGCGTGTGTGTGTGTGTGTGTGTGTGTGTGTGTGTGTGTGTGTGTATGAATATGTACTTGTTACATCTCCGGAGGGAATTAAACATAAATGGCAGAATAACTGGTAAAATGGAGATTAAAAGAGAAATGTGATCTGAAGGAAAAGTGTCTCATGTTTTAGCTTCGATTTTGTCCACTACTCCCACCTAACAACAAGTGCAAACTGCCACACATAAAAAGCCCAAATGAATTTCCAAACAGTTGGGATAATAAAGATTAAGTTTCCTGCTTCTTCTCCCAGGGTGACAGTGACTCCAGATGGGATCCTGTGGATCCACAACATCAGCAGGGCAGATGAGGGGAAGTACACCTGCTTTGCTGAGAACTACTTGGGCAAGGCCAACAGCACTGGACACCTGTCAGTTAGAGGTACACACACACACACGGTACACACCAGGGACACATGCAAAAACACACACACACACTTGCACATGCACACACACGACATGCACATTCACACGCACGTGCACACACAAACACACACACTGGCCCACTGAAACACCTGTGTAGTTTTAAGACAGTCTCACTCCTCCCCTCCTCTCCTCCTTCGCTCTCTCCCCCTCTTTTCCCCAGATGCCACTAAGATCACCCTGGCTCCCTCCAACGCTGATATCAACCAGGAGGAGAATGTCACGCTGCAGTGTCACGCGTCACATGACCCCACCATGGACCTCACCTTCACCTGGGCTCATAACGGAGCTCTGCTGGACCTGGAGGACCCCGCTGGACCGTACCACCGTGTGGAGGGGGTGAGTTAGTCAGACCACAGTAGAACGTACCATTGCAGGAATGGGGGTGCGTCATGATGAATAAGACAACAAAAAATCCACAGGTTCACTTGGGGTTATTTTCAATCAAACAGTTTGAAATTGAATCAAACTGCTTAACTGTTTATTTTAAATCAAAAATACATTAGTATGATTTTTTTGTGTGATTGGTAGGGTTAATGAAAATAAGAACCATGAAGAAGGGTGTATTTACAAAACATTAGTCAGATATTATATGCGTCATTGCAATCTAAGCTGCACACCATATCAAGGAAACTTTCAATTTGATGTGCAGAGTCACACCCTACTGTTCATGTCTTGCTAATTAAACACTTCTAGGTTGATGATGTGACGTTGCCGTTTTCCATGCCTCTGGGTTTACTGGGGATTAGAGTTTATAATCCTGACCCAAACAAATTACGGTCAGCACCATGATTACACTGTCACTGGAGTCGTCTTTATAATGGGATAGACTTTCAAAGCAGAGTGTTGGATATAATTGAATTTCATTTGAATTAAAGTTACCTTGGGTACTGCTGTGAAACTGTGATTATATGAATACTGAATACCTGACTTGTTTCTCTGTATGAGACAGACCATGTCTCCAATTACTGAGTATGTCTCTAATTCTGAACAATCTCTCTCTTTCTCTCTCTGTCTCTCTCTCTCTGTCTTTCTCTCCCCCCCCCCCCCCCCCCCCCCCCCCCCTCCATCCCCTCTATATCTCTCTAACAGAAGGAGACCATAGGGGATCTGTTGATAGTGAGTGGTCAGCTGAGTCAGGCAGGTACATACAGCTGTACAGCTCAGACCGTGGTGGACAGCGCCTCAGCCTCCGCTAAACTGGTAGTCAGAGGTAAGACCTGAGAATATCACAACAACTAACCTGCCCTTTTTCTATGATGGTCATCCTCATGAAATGTTTGTGTTACAGCATTGCAGGATTTCGATTCTACATTTTATGAGGATTTTTACTTAGTTACTTACTTGCGTAATCCTCTTCATCCCCAGGCCACAATGAGCTCCGTCCACTACTTTCTGGGTGAGGATTTGTAGTTGCTTGTAAATGAAGGAAGTTGGATAAAAGTCCTGACTAGGCATTCTCCAACTGTCTCTCCTCAGGCCCCCCGGGACCTCCTGGTGGTTTAGTGGTGAAGAATGTTGCCGAGACGTCGGTGGAGTTGCGGTGGAGTCGTGGCTATGACAACCACAGCCCCATCGGGAAGTATGTCATCATGGGTCGCTCCCCACTGTCATCTGGATGGAGGACGATGAGGACAGGTGAGAGGACCACCACTGTGTGTGTGTGCACACGTGTGTATGAATGTATGTTTTTATATCAATCAATCAGTCCCTGACCTCTCCCCCTCCTGCTCTCCCCTCACAGACCCATCTAACATTGAAGGCAATGCTGAATTGGCTCGTGTGGTTGGCCTGTTGCCCTGGATGGACTATGAGTTCCAGGTCATCGCCAGTAACATCCTGGGTAGTGGAGAGCCTAGCATGTCCTCTCACACTGTACGCACCCAGCAAGCAGCTCCCACAGTGGCCCCTAGTGGACTAGGTGGAGGAGGAGGAGACCGCAACGAACTCATCATCACCTGGACCGTAAGTGTGTCTGTCTGTCTGTCTGTCTGTCTGTCTGTGTATGTGTGTGTGTACGTGTGTGTGTGTGTGTGTGTGTTTGTGCATGTTAGAGAGAAAGTTAGAGAGTTTAGTCTTTGTCAAAGTTGACTTAAAGTTTTGTTTGAATCTGATCCCAGCCCATGGCCAGAGAGTACCAGAATGGAGATGGCTTCGGCTACATCCTGGCATTCCGGAAGCGGAACTCTCCGACGTGGGTGGTGGAGCGTGTTTCTAATGTGGAGTCATCACGCTACGTGTACTCCAACCAGAGCCTGTCCCCCTACTGCCCATTTGAGGTGAAGATCAAAGCCTACAACCGTAAAGGAGAGGGTCCCTTCAGCCAGATCGCCCTGGTGCACTCTGCAGAGGAGGGTGAGTCAGAACAGATCGGGGGCATACAGGAAGGAAGAGGAACATTATGCTGTTTTGCCACAAGAGGGCGAACAAAAACACAAAAAACAAAATGAACTTACCAACCACATTGTGTAAATCCATTGTTCATTGTGTTTATCGTACTTATGTGTGTTGGATATTATCCCCAACCCTAATTTCACCCCTGACCTCTGACCCCTGCCCCTCCATGCAGAGCCCACGGTGGCGCCCTCGAGGATCAACGCCACGGCTCTGACGGCATTCGAGATGCAGGTGTCGTGGGACCCCGTCCAACACCTCAGCGCCAACGGCATCCTCAGAGGTTACGAGGTTAAGGACCTGCACAACATACACACGAACATATACATATACCATTAAATATATCTCACGATATACCCCGACATGTGCATTTACCCCAAACAATGTGACAAGCAATGGGCCCTGGTCTAAAGTAGTGCACTATAAAGGGAATAGCATGCCATTGGGGACGCATCTCTAGACTTCTGGTTCAAACCAGTCTGAACCAGTCAGTACTGGTGTGGAGGTTAACTGAGGTAACAGCTATGGTGCTATTACCATCCTGAGGTGACACTGCCCTGGAGTTGACCTCACCTCATCTCCTCAGCCTTGATGTCTTATATCCCCCTACTAATAAGGGTTTTATTCATTTACTTGCTGTGCTGTTTGGTTGGGATCAGCATGTTTTTGTCCGTCGCCAGGCAGATTAGGTCTAATGGTTGGTTATCATGATGGCCCTGAGGGGAAAAAATGGGAGAGTCAGAGTGAGAGTCATTAATGTTATGACAGGGCAGCTGGAGGAAACTTTGCTCTTTAATCTGGTTATTGTACGCATTTGAAAGAAAACTGTTTAGATAAGAAAGATATCAAAATGCTTACATTTTAGGGCCTTCAGGTGATCTGTTCATATTTACCTCACAGTATATTGTGAGGAAGAAACCGTCATAATTATTTGATACTTTATTTTTTTGGGAAAAATGAACTATTTTGCTGCAAACCTTTCCTAGGATTAGGCCCCCAGTTTCTCACAGAGATGTACTCTTGGTGGCATCAGCACACTAAACAAAATGTGTGTTTACAGATCCGGTACTGGCGTCAGCATGAGCGGGAGGCAGCTGCAGACCGTGTGCGTACAGCTGGGTTGGAGACAACGGCTCGTGTGGCAGGACTGAGACCCAGCACCCGGTACCATGTTACCGTGCTGGCCTACAACAGCGCTGGCACAGGACCAGCCTCACCCAAATCCACTGTCACTACCAGGAGACCACGTATGTAGGACACACACAGTATTGCCACCACCAACACACCGTACTGTATGTATGACATAACAAACACACACACTCAAATATTATTTCAGTCCCTTGGCCCCAACCCTCCTCCAGGATCATATGTGACATAACTGGGTTAGGCCAGTAGTGTAAGTATGAGTTCTCCCCTGTGGGCTAAGATGGATTGTCCCTACCAGCTGAGAATACCCCAGGGGGTCAAACACACAGTGTGTTTGGGAGGGGAGATAACCACCATGCACCTGACTACCGGTATCTACTCGGCTTCAAGAAAGATACCTCCCAAAAATATTTGTCCATTGATATAGTTCCCTAAATGTTTTGCATGTCAGCTATCAAGTTTTCAACATATGTAACTTTTAAAATACAGAAATACAGCCGGTATGATGCATTTTGTTATATATCTCGAAAACTTTATCGCTGACATGCAAAACATTTTGGGACTATATCAACAATGGACTGATGAAACAAATACCGAAATATAGTTTGTGGGTGGAATTTTCCTTTAAGGGTGTAAAGGGATTCTAGTGGGGGATTTAGATCCTGATACAGAGGATCTTCTCCTCTCTCTTCTCCTCTTCTCCTGGAGCTACACTCTTAGAAAAAAAGGAGCTATCTAGAACCTAATATGGTTCTTCGGCTGTCCCCATAGGATAACCCTTTGAAGAACCCTTTTTGGTTACAGGTAGAACCAAAAAGGGTTCTCTCTGGAACCAAAAAGGGTTATCCTATGGGGACACCCGAAGAACCCTTTCGGAACCATTATTTATAAGAGTGTATTGTAGACACTCTGATACCTTAACACCACTAACGTCAACATAACACACACATAAACCTATGTTAATATATTCTATATGATATCATGCCTTTTAGTTTGCAGTTCGGTTACAGTTTGGATTGTCACGTTTCTGTATCTATAATATGTGCGTGAGACCTTTGTATTATCAAGTTATTATTACGTTGCTAAGTTTAATTCTTCAATAACTTCCTGGTCAGGTCTTGGTCAGGTAACTCTAATTTGTTGTCTGTTGTTCTTTTATGTTTACAGCTCCTAATCGTCCCCCTGGTAATGTGTTCTGGAAAACTGATGGCTCATGGGTAACTGTAAGGTGGGATCATGTCAAGGCCCTAGACAATGAATCAGCTGTACTGGGCTACAAGGTGAGTGCTGTCTGTTTGAAGGAACGGTGTGTGTGCAGGTGGGTATGTGTTTGTCATATTGCAAATGCACTGTCAAAATATATAATATAATGTTAAGATGTGTGAAGTGAAAGGGGATATGCGGCCAACATTATTCATGTTGTTTGGATAAGTCATAATGAGCTACTTCTGTATATAATCAGATTTTCAGAGTAATAAAAAGGTCATAAAAAAATCTAAGAGCATGGTACGGCATATCATCAATAGATAACATTAACAATCATTTATTGCTTTTATAATGTGATACTGTGCAAAACGAAAAATGAAAAGAAATAAAAACATTAGTTAGTTAAACAAAAATACTTAAACAAACATTAAACATAGGGGCAAAGGAAAAACATGAAATAACTGTATTTCCTCTGTAGAGTTTGTCAGAATCTGAAGTGAAGATTTTCCTTCCCTCTCTCTTCTTTCAGGTGCTGTATAAGCATGAGGGCCAGTCTGCACTAAAGGTTCTGGACAAGGGGAAGACGTCTGTCACCCTGCCCCTACCCAAAGACAACAGCTATGTGGTCCTGGAGATACGCTCCTGGGGGGAGGGCGGAGACGGAGCCGCACACGAGACCATTGTCTCCCGCGACTCAGGTAAGACAGACTGACTGGGTGCGTCCCAATAATATCACTTTTTTCCTGAGGTGTACACTCGTTCACTACTTCTCACAAATCTAAAAGCATTGGATTGGTGGAAGGAAGACTAAAAGGAATTTCCACCATATGTATATACCAGTTATTTCCTTTCAAATCAGTGAAGGGAAGTGAACAATTGCACATTTGGGCGGAAAGAGATATAATAGGAACATAGCCACTGACACTGAGGTTTGATGGAAATGAGACTTCAGCACAACACATTATTACAGAGTCACACACCACATAGCCCCAGAGCTTATCCAGGCAAGGTTTTGTGTCAGGTTTAAGTTACATCCCCACCTGGGACTTGCCTAGAAGCAACACCACTCCTGCTGTGACTAGATCTCACTACAGCAGGAAATAAATCAAATCCCACCTCCTGTCTGCACCGAGTCTGCCCCAACAGCTAGTGTGGCCCGTGGCTAACAGGATTAGCTAGCTGTCACAAGCATAAGTTTACAAGAGCATAAGTGCTAATTTGAACCAAGGGACTAATTTGTATTTTGTCTCAAGTTGCGGCTACACACGGCAGCTGCCTGTGAAGTTAGGTTGATAGGCTGCTGAGGGAAGTTGAGGTTTGTCAGTGAGTGACAGGGTTTAGTGAGAGGCAGTGAGGGTTAATGGGGGTTTGCCTCACTGGGCTCTGTATTAGTGCACGCAGACATGCACATATGGATCTTTTTAATTTGTCTTAATTTTGCAGAAGCAGGATTTGAACATTTAATCCATAATGTTGCTTGATCGGTGGTTAGGCTATTAGCTGGTCAAAACGAGGCTACATGAAAAGTAGAATACTGTTAATATAACCGTGTGTTAGTGCGGAAACATCTCAGCAACAAAAGAGTGATCAAATTAAGATCCTAAATCTGTACTGTACACACGGATGCGTCCGCACCTAACACACACACACACACGCGTACACACATTAGTCCTTAAATTCTACTTAAAGATGCACTATGCAGAAATCGCTCCGTCATTTCCTGGTTGCTAAAATTCTAATAGTTCGCCTAATTTCAGTTTATGTGACAAAACAAGCAAGTATAGTGTAGAGAATCATTGTACCATCGACACCGCTGTGAAATATATTTTCCATAACCAAAAATATTGTATTTTCAGTTGTTTGAAGCTGGTGAGAATTTTGCTGTCGCCCAAAAAGTTACATATTGCACATTTTAGACCACAAAAGAGCTGTTTTAGCCAGTCAGAGAGACAGTTTTAAATATGAGTCAGTGTCAGTCAATGGGGTTTTCCTTAGGAGCTGTCTGTCACTATTCTGAGCCCCTAACTGTGACTCCTCAAAAAAGCAAAGGAGACAAGAAGGCAACTGTTGGGATAATACTGTACTAGAGCATGTCTAAAATTCTGACCCCCCACCCCGTCCCCCCACCCTCTATCTCTTTCTCTTTCTCGCTCTCTCTCTTTCTCTCAAACAGGAACTGGAATGATGGTGCAGAATCAAGCAAGATCCCCATGGTCCAATCACGCTCCTCTCCTTCTCACCGCCACACTCTCCCTCACTCTCATTGGCTTACTGGACCTGTGATCTCCGCCAATCCCTGGACATTATGGTTTCATGGTCTAAGCCTAATGTTCAGATTCACCTATCTATCATTGTGGCGGGGGGAGAGGGGAATTTGAACAGGAGGACAGGGGTGTGGGGGTGTGGGGTAATATTTTGAAGCAAGGAGGATGGGGGGAGTTAAAATGACTAATTGTGATTTTATTCTTCTTTTTATAAGAACATCAAAGCGGGAATTTTTTTATGTGTGTGTGTCTATGGGTTTCAAGGGGTCAGACTACCTGATTGTCAATTACGTTGGTGTCATTAGAACCATTCCTTATGGGGACACGATAGGCTTTTGTCCTTCTCCGTCACAGCAGCAGGGCAACGCGTCACACTCTCCATGTCTCCTGGCTTCCCCTACTCTGCTATGAACCCTAGGCTCGATAGCGTATGTCAGTAGTGCTTTTTGAAGTCTGTTCGGTTTCGTTTCGTTTAAAAAATAATAATCATGGTTTTCGATTTCGGTTTCAATGTTACATTTTTTACAATAAATGCACTATGCATTATGTGGGTTGAATGCTGTAACAACACAGAATAACATTTTTTTTTAAAGCCCCATGATGGTAGTGACTGCCCAATACTGCTTATCACTTATTAACCATCATTTATTCACATTACTTTATTTAATAAAATATTTCATTGTTGTGTATGTATACATTTATTTTATTTGATAACTTTGGACTAGATTCAATCAGATCAAGCATTAACTGGCGATAGCAGACACCTGCATAGTGGATGTTTTGACATTGCAGTCAAATCAGTGAGCAGCTCCTCTGGCGATCATTGTCACAAAGCCACACCCGCCCCATTTGCGTTAGAAGTTCACAACAAGAAAGTGTAGGATATATAGAAATAATTACGCTTAAATTGAAAATCATTCAACTAAATATAAGGTGTAGATTACGTCTCACATCCAGGTGTTCAAACTTGTAAACAAGGCTGCATGGGATTTCTCTTATTGCAACTCAGTGCAGCCAATGGGAATGTCCACTTTAGGTATAATGCTGGGAGCTGCTTTGGATGCTTTGGCTGAGTGGATTTGACAGATTTAACACAGTTCCACCTACTACACGGTCAAAACATCAGCTATGTGGATGTCAGCTAAAGCGGATCTGATTGGGCCCTTTTTTATTTTATTCCAAGTCATTGTCTAATCTCTACTCATGGAGTAGCAGCCAGCCAGCCTTCTATCTCTATGCTCCCGGTCGAGTCATCCTATATATTTGCTGGCTATAGAGCTGCTGCCTATGTTGTCTGACAAAATCACTATTTTAGTAGTTCTTCCAAGTAAATAAGGCATACTTTTATGACTGCTGATTACCAACTATCAATCACTTAGTTCATGTATTGTCAGGAAGAGATACCTCGCGAAGAAACAACTACTCTCTCTAACCCTCTCAATCACACGTTCTTCTCTCCCTCTCCGTATCTGCCCCACCAACTTGACCGGACAAGTAGGCACGCAATGGATTATGGTCATTGTAGTTAATTACCACGTTTTCTGCACTAAACTATGTAGAATATTGGGCTGTTGGAAACTACAACTCCCTACTACGTCACACAGTTTGTGCTTGATCTGATTTCTCTCTAGAGAAACGGAGCATTGAGCTTACAGTATAAAAAAATAACTAAATGGAATTCAAATAATTGAACCAACATCGGTCAATTAGTTATTTAAAAAACGAAAAATAACATTTTGGTTAATCGCTCAGCACTATATGTAACCCAACTTAACCTCTGTATGTAGAACATTATGTGGACATACAGTACATACAGAACAGTAGACATCCCTGGTTCACTCAGACACTGACCAACTCTTATGTTTTTCTCTAGAATAAGATGAAGGGGGAAAAAACAGTGATGCCATAAAACTCATGGTTCTTCAGGAAGTCTACTTCAAATGGAACCCCCTGTGAATGGAACGCTTACTTACTTTCTTATGACACAACCCATTGTCTCAACCTAGGATTTTCTGCCTGTGTGTTGGTTTGTTTGATTTATGTGATGTAGTTATGGCGACGACAGCGAACGGATGAATAACTTCACTCGTCCAAATGAATGTTTACCTTTTTTATCGTTTATTTTATGTTGAGAGAACTCAACAAAATTTATCAGGTCTTTGTTTACACTTTTTTTGTGCCTGCATTGTTTAGAAGATTCTGACACAAATGGAAAACTATTTACATTCAGTGGTTTGGGGTTGGCTATGAAACCCATCTATGCTGAAAGATAAGAGGTCTTTCACCATGGCAATTGTTGCGATAAAACTATGAAAGCAGGTATTGAAGACTGATCACAAAGGACAGTGTTATCGTTCACCTCTCATATAACATGTCCTGTTGTTCATTAACTGTTAATCATGCAACACTTCTGCTATAAACACTGTCTGTCTGAGGAGAGTTCACAGCAAGGATACGTCATCTAAGGAACATGCCGCATCTGCTAGTTAATCATGAAGCCCCTGTAGGATTGATTTGGATGGAAAGCAAGGAGAGTACCTGCACACCGTTTAGATGTTCCCGATGTTCCCAGAGTTACAATGTCAACCACTGTCTTTGTCAAGCCTGTTGCCACTGTATATTAAACCCGTGGCAGCATTTGAACAGTTGGTATTCTACTTTCTTTTTCCATATCTGATACCCTTTGCACCTGTAAAGTCTGTGGAATGTGTGTTCTGTATAATACCTTGAACTATTGATTTTGGGCATAGTCAAGTAGTTCAATGGTAAACAGCCATTTCAACACAGTGTGTCTGTTCTGAATATAACTACCGGTACATAAAGCTTAGGCAACAGCAAACAAGATGGCAACTACTGTATGTTGTCTCTTGTTGTTTTCTCCATTTCTGTTGCTCTGAACCATTGAGAGGCAGGTTGGCCAGTAGCAGTACATGTATGCTACTACATGTTGTTCTATGCAGTAGAACAGTGCAAGGTATCAAGAAGCTTTGTGGCACTCCAGGGTTTGTGGGTCATCGTAAATTGTATTGTAAGTTTATGATTTCAATACATCTCAGGAGTGTAGGAATCAAATAATACTTTTTATGGTTTGCAAGCGGTCCGGAGAAGCCAAAATCATGTTTTTTTTTGTTATTTGTAAAAGTCTGGGTGGTGAAAAAGGTTTGTTGAGTAAGTGGTTGGATGATGGACCACTTGGTTTTTTCAGTGCTGTTTGTTTGTTAGCTACATCTCACTTTGTAGTGCCCACAACTGTATATAAGTTATTATGATGTTATTGACTCTTTTAAACAGACATCGACTGATTGTCAACATCAGAATGAGCAAGATACAAACACACTCTGCACATGAAACATGTTGATGACAATCTGTTAGTACAGCAACACCACCAGTACAATCGTAGAAAAAAGGGTTCCATAAGGGTTCTTCAGCTGTTCTCATAGGATAACCCTTTTGGGTTCCATGTAGAACCCTCTGTGGAAAGGGTTCTACCTGGAACCAAAAGGGTTCTACCTGGAATCAAAAATAGTTATTCAAAGGGTTCTCATATGGGGACAGCCGAAGAATCCTTTTAGGTTCTAGATAGCATTTTTTTTCTAAGTGTATACCCAGAGTGCCCATTAGTGACAGTCTTTTTTAATACATAGACATATTCAGCACCACACTAGTCCCCACCTGACAGTTTTTATGTTTTAGACCAATAATGTTGTTTGGATTTTAGTGTGTGAAGCCACTTTACCCTGTGCCTGACGGTGTTCATTCAGGGTCCTTTTATATTGGATTGGGAGTGTTGTGTTTTATAAACTGTTTTTGTATGTGGCTCACTGTAACTTAAAAAAAAGAGGGCAGCTTAAAAATATGTGAATGTCCAGATGTCTTGCAGTGATGACTTACTTGGGGAAACTCAAACTCACACTTCGTAGTTGAAGACAGTGAATGTGTGATTGGAACTACTGTCTGGCTATACGAAACTGCAGAACAAGGGAGTCAACTCGACTCTCTTTCAACCTGCCTGTCAAACTGTAGTCAAACATGTTGCTGGTGATATGATATCTCACTCTCCTCCATGTAGCAGTTACTGCAGGGCCTAACAGATGGCCCTATATGCTGTAAGCTACTGGACCACCCAGCTCTGAGATCACTATACACTATATATCATCTAGCTGTTCAATAATGTTCAAGATAAACTGATAGAGCTGCCAACTGAGAAAGCAGCCTCTGTTCCCTCAAGAGCAAGATAGGAGTTATCGTAGTGAAGAAATATATATACACTGGATCTCACTTATCATCAGTCTGTAGATACTGTACTGCTAGAGTACACTTAGCTCACAAACTCCGAAAAAATAGCCTACTGTTTGGTGGTTAGTGTTGTTCCTTCTTCAACCAGCACGGGTATAGACCTGAAAGACACACAACACATGTACACGTCATCTGCCCTTGCTTTGTTTCTAACCCAATGGGAAATATTGGAAACACTGCCTTTTTGGTTATGTACTTAATGCTAGCTTATTCATTTGCGTATGTGTGTGTGTGAATGTTTTTGTTAACCCAACGCTTTTTGTATTCAAAGTTCCCATCAGCTAAAGACCCATTAAAAGTAATTATCATCTTACAGCATCTCTGTAATACTAAGGTGACATATTTTCCAACTACTGTTCTCTGAATATTATGTGTCAACTTCAAGAAGTCTGATTGGTCGGTTCAAATCTCACTTCCTGGTGGAAGCTACAATGGCTATTGAGGTAGAGGTTGCCCTTAACCACAGATCTAGGATCAGATTACACTCCCCCTAATCATAACCTGAACCATACGGGGCTGAAAACAAATCTGTCACTGTATCAGTGGTTAAGGGCAACCTGTTTGCCAGGATGTGTTTGTCTGTCAGCTGGCTGGGCTGAAATGTTGATATGTTCTGATACCATTGGGTATCTAAATCTGTGATTAAATGGGAATGTGAAGGGGTGGGGTATGGCACTTGTAAATATTACTCAATAAACACCTTGGGATTGTATTTAAATCATGCTTGTTCCACTGTGTTTTTTATTTCCTTACCACTGTTGAATTTGCATGGCAGATGTAGCATGATCATATTAGGTTGTGACCTAGCAGCATGAATAGCCCCTTTTCAAGTAAGTCATAATAATTGCCATTTTACCTAGTGTGCGTAATTTAATCTATTAGGTAATCAGTATGTCTCCCACTTCCCAGAATACCCAGGAATCTTATCACCTGCACTTTGGTACCAATTATTATTAGGGAAAGTGAGAAGTATAAATCAGCAAGAACACAGCACAGCATACTGCAGGAACTCTCCCTCTGTCACTGGTGGAGAAAGGTAACATGGTCACGTCTATATTCATTTACTGAATGTAATATGTAACTTTATATTCATTTATGTAACATACCTTGTAATATCAGAGGTAATATCCCTACTATATTGCACCTTACTTATCATGGATTACATAGTGATAAAAGTGTGTTTATTAATTATGAATTGCATGTGAAGAGATCTAGCAGGTTTGTTAACAGTGAGTGGGTGAGTGTTTGTGTACAAATGTAGGATATTCATTTGAGCGAGTTTGCTACAGCAGGAAAATAATCCTGCAGCAACAGGAAATGTGAATTATTATGTGAATTATAATTAAATTAACTTTTTCGTAGGGGGTACATACATTTTTCATTACGGCAAATGAAGTCTGACATTTCAAAGTGGAAATTACAAACTTTAGAAGCTTTTTTAAACCTCAAATACACTACAAGTTTGCATTTCCTGCTGTGCAGGAAAATTCACAGCAACAAAAGAGTGATCAAAAAAAGATCCTACATCTGTATGCAGTAACAGACTTGGTTCAAATACATTATAGAATACACTGTGGGGTGGGTGGGGTTTGCACTTTTGGGACCATTTCATCGATTCAATTGTACCAGTCAAGTTATGTAAAGTGCACCTCAAGTATTTGAAATTGTTTATACATTTGACCTAGGTCTGGACATACATAAATCTGGCTTTGTTTGCTATCTCGCTATTAAAGAACCATAGGTTCATTGCTAAATATTAGGGATTGTGTAATACGAACAGTATCCAATACTTAATATTTACAAACTTGTTTCATCTGAATTAACAACATAAAAACATAACTGCTCTATGAAATGTTATAATTGTATAATTATAACATGTTGTTATATAGCTATATTTAAGTATTTGTTTATTTATTTTTTTGTTTGTGTGTCTACTAATGTATTTATGTTTTATTTGGTATTTATTTTTACAGGTACATTGTTTTTAAGGCTAACAGACTTGATTTCACAACACAATGGCCAGACTCACTGTGCTTGCAGGTAAATGGCTTCCTCAGTCATTCTAATCATTATCATCATCCTCATCTTATTCTTATCATTATTCTTCAACATGAACCTCTGGGTCTTGGTCATTCAGTGTATGTGAACACTGTCATCTCTCCTCAGGTCTGGGCCTTCTGCTGATGGTGCAGATTGGTAAGCATTTCCCTCATCAACTTTTTTACATTTCTCAATTGACATGTTTAGACCATAGAGATAGATTATGTATTCTATCTAAATCTGTGGTTCACACCCAAGAGGCTTGGCAATCGCATCAAAAACCACACATCCCCCATAAGCATTTGGAATATTAAAGAGGGCATCCCAATAAACACAATTGTCCAGCCTGCTATTTTAAGGTACCCCAAAGGGTCAATGTGAACTGCTGTCTCTGAATAGTTTTCCACCTCTACCTTCAGCCACCTCCACCAAACTGGTGTGCCACATGACCAACTGGGCCCAGTACCGCCCCAGCAGTGGGAAGTTCACCCCTGAGAACATCGACCCCTTCCTCTGCACCCATGTGATCTACAGCCTGGCCACCATCAACAGCTTCAACCAGGTCGCCCCCATTGAGTGGAACGACGAAACACTGTACAATAGCCTCAACAACCTGAAGAATGTGTGAGTGACTCTGGGTTGACTTCAGTGAGAGTTGGGCCTTAGTTGATGACTTCATGATGAACACTAGGTTTGACTCCTCATCTCATCTCTCTGATCTGCAGGAACCCAATGATGAAGACTCTGCTGTCTGTCGGAGGCACAGTCAAAGGACTCAGCCCGTAAGTCTAGTGATGATTGTTATTGGTTCATCACAATATTATTTTGCGCAATTCCACATTGGGCAGATTTGTCTTTTTGTACCCAGCACCTGAGATATCAATTATAATGTTGCAAGTTTTTATCATAGTGTTTCCCAGTCTTTGTCCTAATCTGGAGGACTGCTGTGTCTGTTGGGTTTCAGTCCTTTCGAATAGGCTCACAACCAGAGTAACGGTTACATTATGTCTCCTTCCACCCCTCCAGATTCATCGGCATGGTGTCCAAACCTGAGAGCCGGCAGGCCTTCATCAAGTCAGCCATCAACTACCTGCGTTCCCACGGCTTTGACGGTCTCAACCTGGCCTGGGAGTACCCCACTCAGAACGGCAGCCCCGATGGAGACAGGAAGAGGTTCACCGAGCTCGTCAGGGTAAGCTTGCACATAACCTTTTTTTTTTACTGACAGTTATAACATGAGTGAGGATTTGCACCAATATCTTTCAATGTGTTCCTGTCATTTTCTGGGACTATTTATGGTTGTAGAGCCATAACTTCTGAAGGGTTAGCTCAGGCTGAAGGGCCATATAGTTTCTACTACTTTCTGTCAGAGCGTTATGTCTCTATATGGCTTTACAGGAGCTGCAGAAGGCCTTTGAGGACGACGCCAAAGACACCAGGCTGACCCAGCTGCTGCTGTCTGCCAGCGTGGCAGCTCTACAGCCCACCATCAACTCCAGCTACGAGGTGGCCCAGATCGCCAGGTAGGCAGAATGTGACTGAGGCTGAAAGAGATTCGTCAAACACACTTCCAATTGATTTTAAACCAGAGTTGGGGTAAATTCCATTTGATCTAAAAAGACAAATTAGTCAGTAAAGGAAAACCTCATAATAGAGAATAACACCATACATCCAATTCATGAATCTTACAAACTCAACAAACACACTATACTTCATATACTTGTCTCTAAATGTCTCTGCAGCTCTCTGGACTTCATCAACGTGATGACCTATGACTTCCATGGACACTGGGAGAGAGCAACCGGACACAACAGCCCTCTGTACCGCAGCAGCCACGACTCAGTGACACACTACCACTTCAACGTCGTAAGACTAACACACACTTGGTTTTATTAGGATTGATTCTATTCCATGCTGAGTATTAAACCAGGAAGTACTTGTAAACCATTGTGTTATTGACCATGATGATATAAAGGAAACTTGTAAACAAACTATTTAAATATAGGAAATATTGGTGTTGATGTCCTCCAACTTAGCTTCCTTGTCCTAACCACCTGTCCCTGTGTGTTAGGACTCTGCCATGACCTACTGGCTGGACAACGGTGCCCCTGCTGAGAAGCTGCTGATGGGTTTCTCCACCTACGGCCGTACCTACCATCTCACCACCTCCAACACTGGCCTGGGAGCCCCCGCCAACGGCCCCGCTGATGCCGGCCCCTTCACCCGCGAAGCAGGATACTGGTCCCACTACGAGGTACATTTGATCCATGAGGCCTTTTTTCTCAAACTCAAAGCATACAGGCCACGGATCGCAAAACACTCTACTTCATATTGTGTTGTTTGTTTGTCATTAGCTAACAGAATGTTTCTCTCTCCTCCCAGGTCTGCTCCTTCACCTCCAGCGCCACTGTTGAGTGGATTGATGAGCAGAAGGTCCCATATGCCGTCCAGGGCAGCTCCTGGGTGGGCTACGACAGCAAGGAGAGCTACGCTGCCAAGGTACACGCCAGGAACATCTCAGTCAATCTATCCATCAATCAATCAATTTCTCTGTATACCCATGTCCATGTTTACACATCTGTCTGTGTCTTCTTTGCTCCATCAGGTCCATTGGCTGACGAACAAGAACCTGGGAGGAGCCTCTGTGTGGACTCTGGACATGGATGACTTCACTGGTGCTTTCTGTGCTGATGGTCCCTTCCCTCTTGTCAATCATCTCCGCAACTCTCTGGGTAAATTCAGTTCCATTAAGTTAAATTCAAGTTTTTTTTATAAACCACTAAGTCAAGTACAGTAAAGGTAGGTCTTCATGTCATCTCATCTAACACTCCCCTCACTTCCTCCACCCCTCCTTCCCTTTCTCCCTCCCAGGCTTCCCCCCCAAGCCCACCACCACTCGGGCCCCCACCACCACCCCTGACCCCATCCTCAGCTTCTGCTCTGGACGCCCAGATGGCCTGTACGTCAACGTCTCCGACAACACCACCTATTTCCAGTGTTTCCGTGGCAACACCTACCTGCACAGATGCCAGCCTGACCTGGTCTTTATTGATGCCTGCAAGTGCTGTGACTGGCCCTGAATGACTGCTAGCTATGTCGGAACAATTAATTAGAATGCTATAACAACCTTTGATAACAACAAGCTGTAACGGCAATAACCTACCCTAGGAACTGGTCCTGAACTGCAACTGGCAAAATTTGACATAATATACTTATTTTCATTTTGTCCTTTTATATTTGCCTGACTACTGTCTTCCTCAATTAAAAAGAATACCATACTCACAATATTCCAAGACCATATTATGAATGATAATAATAAGCCATTTAGCAGACGCTTTTATCCAAAGCAACTTACAGTCATGCGTTCATACATTTTTTGTGTATGTGTGGTCCCGGGGATCGAACCCACTACCTTGGCGTTACAAGCGCCGTGCTCTACCAGCTGAGCTACAGAGGACCACATGTTTAATTATAATTTTTTTTTTTTTTCATATACAGGCTCACTTATGTAAAATGTATTTTTCCATGAAATTGAAGAGTGCTGTAATGTTTCAACATGTTACCCGTGATTCATTGTGGAAAAACATCCTGCATGTCACAGCACTAAAGCACATACAGTGTAATGTCCGCTTGTCACTTTCATTAGCTATGATTAAACTGTATATATCAAGCATTTAGTCAACGGTCCCTCTCCTCCCTGCAAATACAACCACAGACATATAAGAATGTGTCACAATCACTACAACTGTAGTTCAGCCCTTTTCACTTGGTCTCAGAGAACTTCACATTGTTAGGGCGTTAAGTAATCTCACACAAGATGATGCATAACAGCCCTAATATTATTTTACTACCAGTTTACCAAGTCATTTCTAAGTTAATATCGTGGACTAAAATATAAAACAACATTTTATATTTTCATTCCAACAAACCTGGATGTTTACCAGAAAACATGCGAAATGAGAAACTGTTCTCCCATGGTCATAGTAGCAGAGCAGTCAGAGTGTATGCTATGGGTTACATTGGCAACACTTATCCTCAGATAATGGCCATTATGAGAGTAATAAACTCCTTTGTCCAAAGTGCTCCATTACTATTACTACCCTGATGTCTCCACATACACTTAGTGTACAAAACATTAAGAACACCTTCCTAATGTTGAGTTGCAGCCCCTTTTCCCCTCAGAACAGCGGTAATTCGTCGGGGCATGGACTCTACAAGGTGTTGAAAGTATTCCACAGGGATGCTGGCCCATGTTGACTCCAGTGCTTCCCACAGTTGTGTCAAGTTGGCTGGATGTCTTTTTGGTGGTGGAACATTCTTGATACACACGGGAAACTGTTGAGCGTGAAAAATCCAGCAGCGTTCCAGTTCTTGACACACTCAATATGTGCGCCTGGCACCTACTACCATACCCCGTTCAAAGGCACTTAAACATTTTGTCTGAATGGCACACATACACAATCCATGTCTCAATTGTATCAAGGCTTAAAAATCCTTCTTTAACCTGTCTCCTCCCCTTCATCTACACTGATTGAAGTGGATTTAACAGGTGACACCAGTAAGGGATCATAGCTTTCACCTGGATTCACCTGGTCAGTCTATGTCATGGAAAGAGCAGGTGTTCCTAATGTTTTGTACATCAGTGTAGATAACACGCTTTCCGTTTACAGGATTCAGATGGCCTCCGAAAGAGGTCATGGTAGCTAATTAATTTATGTTACAGTTTAGAAGGCTGAGACATTTAGGGTGAAAAAATATATTTTGTCACTTCTTGAAATAATTCAACAGAATAATTATTATTATTACATGTTACCATATGTACAAATGGCACTTGTTTCAATCAAATCATTCCTAAAGAAACTAAAGGGTATTAATTAGCAGGTAAAGATAATATAATAATCAACTTACCATAACATTTCAATGTAAATCCCAGTAATGAGGGTACCATAAAATACAGCTGTTTATGTGAACACTTCTTCATGGTGGTATTGATTTCTCTCATTATAATCAACAAAGTCTAGTGGGTGAAATATGCTGTTAACAGCCACAATGCAGCCCTGTACATAGCATAATGCATCCCACGGGGACTGAAGCTGAGTGTTCATTCACTGTTTTAATAAAGTGCCCAAAATGTAAGGAAATTACAAATAGACACCACAGTAACTGTTTTGTTATGTAGATATTGCACACACACACACACACAAAAAAAAAAACATGATTAAAAGGAACTGTCATTGCTGTCACTTAACTATACAAGTCAATGTTATAAAAAAAAAAAAAAAAATGCAGCACTGCAACCTGTGCCATATTCCACGAGGACAGTTTACATAAGGTTTATTATTTATTGATAGACAGTTATTAAAGGTTGTTGCACCTCTTATTATATATTACTGTAATCAGTAGTCTCAGCAGTAGTAAGTGATTTGTAAATGTTGTCATTTATGTGAAAGATTACATAAGATATATATTTTATTTAATCTTTGTTTTGTTTTTATTATATGTGTGAGTGCACATGCGCAGCAAAGCGCCAACAAAACTACAATTTTGCTGACATTAAATATCCAAGTAAACTTTGCTCCAAGGCACCTGCCAAAAACACATGGCAGTGACTTAACCAATTTTCCCCAACAAACCACTGCCAGAAATTCATATCGTTATCATAAGAGATCAAAGTTTAAAAATTAAGTTTTTTTTTTAAATATGTAATTCAGTACAGATATGAACCTGCTGGATCAAAGATAATCAGATATGCCATAATACATTTGAGAAGGGTCAACTATTTAAATGTTTAGCTGTTTTTGACAGCTCGGGACACAGGTAGCATAATCTAAACAAATGATGATTATTATTATCAACCTTGGCAACATGCACATAATATGACTAATTAATGTGTTCGCATAATTCCAGCAAATGGATAGTTGTGCCAATTATGATCAAAATTGTTCTAAATGCTAAATATACACAGTGTACAAAACATTAGGATCACCTGCTCTTTCCATGACATAGACTGACCAGAGGAATCCAGGTGAAAGCTATGATCCCTTATTGATATTACCTGTTAAATCTACTTTAATCAGTGTAGATGAAGGGGAGGAGACAGGTTAAAGAAGGATGTTTAACCACTTAAGCTTTGAGACGATTGAGACATGGATTGTGTATGTGTGCCATTCAGAGGGTGAATGGACAATACAAAAGATTTAAGTGCCTTTGAACAGGGAAGGGTAGTAGGTGCCAGGCGCACCGGTTTGAGTGTGTCAAGAACTGCAACGCTGCTGGGTTTTTCACACTCAACAGTTTCCTGTGTGTATCAAGAATGGTCCAACACCCAAAGGACATCCAGCCAACTTGACAACTGTGGGAAGCATTGTGGTCAACATGGGCCAGCATCCCTGTGGAGTGCTTTCGACATGTCCATGTGCCGACGAATTGAGGCTGTTCTGAGGGCAAAAGGGGGTGCAAGTCAATATTACGAAGGTGTTCCTAATGTTTTGTACAATCAGTGTACAATCACAGCTACAGTTTTTTTATACTGTACATAACATTGTTTTGCAAACACAGAATGGACATTCTCAAAGTATAGATGCTTCATATGAATTACTTTGACCTCAAAATCTCTACTAAAATGGGAAATGAATAGAAATACAACATTACCAATCTAATGTGCACTATTGTTTATCTGTTTATGCTCAGGTTATGTGTCTTCTTATGTGGTTAGTGTCTTATCTGTCTTGTTTTGCGTTTCTGAGCTGAGTACTGTACATTACCTGGCCTGTCATAAATTAATCACCACCCCAGTCCATACTCTTCTGTACTTATCTGATTGTATTGCACACCTTTTATCAACCCCCCTCCCATTTGGTTCCATGGGGGCCCACCCACCCTTGGATAAACTATATAAAAAGCCAGACCAAACTTCTCATCACTGACTCATTCATCGTTGAAGTTCTCACGGTAAGCTTAGAAGGAAACTCACTAGTCACAGCTGACAGTTTCCCTGGTCATATTAGGACCAACTTGATTCATTGTGTAATTGGATAAATGTGCCTTCGATGATAGTAGCAATTTTGTTTCAGTTGCTAGCCAATGTTGCTTTCAATGTCTTGGTCTGTATATCTTTAGTCTCTGGCTATTCATATTATTTGTATTGCATTCTGACAACAACTGATGCAGTATCGCTATTGGAAAGGATTTTGTGGGAATCTAAGGACATTGCTAATTTAGTTTACTAAATAATCGAACTAAATCAATGTACTAATGAGAGTCAGTGAATGCACAAATTATTATTGAATTATTATTTCAAAACTGTGGCACTTGTTTAGGACAGTACCCTGTGCAGTGCAGTGGGTCAGGTTAATTTAATGGGGAGATGTGAGTGGTGGTAGTTTATTGTTGTTCTGTCTGTAGTGAGCAGGTAATATTCAAAACCTTGCATCTGTTCCATGCTGGCATAACCAACTGTAAATATCATGATGACAGGTCCAAGTATCATTGGTGAAAATATCTCTCTGTCTGTCTCTCACTCTATCTCTTACACTCTCTCCTTCTCTCTTTGTCTCGTATCGAACAGAAGTCAAGATGTCTAAACTGACAATCTTAGCAGGTGACTATGACTCCATAGTTTACACCAGGCACTATCACTGCCTTTAATGTTCTAGTAAAATTATATGCTTTGACATAAACGTTTTTGGGGCTATTTACATAGACATTTGCTTTGCCTTTTAAAACACTCTCTCTCTCTAGGCTTGTGCCTGGTGCTGTGCCAGTTGGGTGCTTCCACCTCAGATTCCACCGTAGCTGCTGCCTCTCCCAAGATGGTGTGCTACTTCACCAACTGGTCTCAGTACAGACAAGACAAAGGGAAGTACAGGCCCGAGAATGTGGACGCCCACCTGTGCACTCACCTGATCTATGCTTTCTCCATCCTCAACCACCGCAACGAGCTGGTCACCTACGAGTGGAACGATGACGTCCTCTACAAGTCCTTCAACGCCTTGAAGGCCAAGTAAGTGGCTCGCTTTACAACTTATTAGTGTTGGTGTTGCATAATTTGGAATTTAGTTTAACTGGTGTTTAATCACTCCTCTGAACTGGAGCTTGTTTTTAGCAGCCACTTGCAGAATTATCAATGTACTCATATACAAAATTGATGAATAATCTCAACCCCTCCTCTCTTTGCCGTCTCTCTGCAGGAATCCTCATCTTAAGACTCTGCTGGCCGTTGGAGGATGGAACTTTGGTTCTTCCCAGTGAGTACCTCCCTTAGTCACGCTACAGGGCTATGAAACGCACCATACATTTGGCTTACTTAGATTATCTGCAACTGTATCTACTGTATCATAGTATTTGTGAGATGTGTGTGTTAACTATACATTTACATTTTAGTCATTTAGCAGACGCTCTTATCCAGAGCGACTTACAGTTAGTGAGTACATACATTTTCATACTGGCCCCCCGTGGGAAACGAACCCACAACTCTGGCGTTGCAAGTGCCATGCTCTACCAACTGAGCTACAGCGGACCTAAATATACTAGGGCACGTGAAATCACACAACTATCATGTTTTCAGTGAAGATAGGATGCGGTTCAAAGTGCTTTTGTCAAGATAACTTTGATCATGACTATCAGTACTATATGACCACTGGTATCTGTGCTAATTTACTTTTAGCACACTTTAGCAACTATACGGTGTATTATATTATGGCGTCCTGACAAAACCTTGATCATCTCTCAGGTGTTCCATCATGGTGTTGTAGTAGCAAACTCTCAGTTAACCCAGAACTAAAATCTCGTGTAATTTGGTCAGATGCTCAATTTATGTTTACCTAGTTTGTCCATGAGAGATTAGCTAGTAGTATATCTGTGGAAGTAGTACATTAGTAGGTAGTATTTAGAAACCATATGGTGTATTGTAATACAGACTCATGATTAAACATTCTTCCTCTCTTCAGGTTCTCCATCATGGTGAATAATGCTGCCAACCGTCAGACATTCATCCAGTCGTCCATCAGCTTCCTGAGAACTCACGGCTTTGACGGTCTGGATCTGGACTGGGAGTACCCCGGGTCCAGAGGGAGCCCCCCAGAGGACAAGAAGAGGTTCACTCTGCTCTGCCAAGTGGGTGTGGCTCCTCCACTACAGTTATTACTCAATGGTAGTAATGTAGATAAATAATGGCTTGGATGTATATAGTGCTTTTCCAGGCATTCAAAGAGCTTTACCAAAGAAAAGAAACTCTTCTTATTCACTAGCATACTGGAGGCATACTATTCAGATATTTTGCCCAGCTCCTATGGTTCCCCATAATACGTCTTTACTGTGTATCTCCAACCCTCTCTGACCCATGATGTTTTGTGTGTGTGTTATACAGGAGCTCGTGGCAGCCTACGCAGCTGAGGCCAAGTCCACTGGCAATGCCCAGCTCATGCTGACCGCTGCCGTGCCCGCTGGGAAGGGAACCATCGATGCTGGATATGAGATTGCTGAGGTCGCCAAGTGAGTCTGACGGCTTTTTTGAATATGAATGTTTCCTGCAGAGGTCAATCAGTTTAAATAGCTATGGAGCTTTAGAAACAGTTTTTAGGTGACATTTCTGTTCTCAGTGGTTATAGTTTGTGTGTCTGTTTGTGTGTACGTCTCCAGGACTCTGGACTTCATCAATGTGATGACTTACGACTTCCACGGAACTTGGGAGCAATTCACTGGACACAACAGCCCCCTGTACCGCGGTGCTCATGACGAGGGAGATCTTATCTACTTCAACACTGTAAGGAAAAATAACACACAGACTGACAGAATCTTTATCAGTATGTATAATGATATTATTGTAAACCCATAGTATGCAAGTAGTATGTTTAAAACCCTTGTCATTCCATCTTTATAAAAGAAAATAGGTTTAAAACATCAAACAGATTTGCTGATGTTATTTGCTTATCATGGTGTGGTATAATCATGACATTTGCTACACATTTTCACCATGATAGAAAAAGCATGGTGCCACTTTACTTTCGGGTGCTGTTCTACAACAATAAATGCCCTAGCACTGCTGAAGTACTTGCTACATTTCTCACTTCTCTCTCCATCCATCCCTCCATCCCTCTACCTCCCCTCTTTCTCTCTCAGGACTACGCCATGAAGTACTGGAGAGACAATGGCACCCCAGTGGAGAAGCTGAACATGGGCTTCGCCACCTATGGTCGTACCTTCCGTCTGACATCATCTGACACCAGCGTTGGAGCACCAGCCAGTGGCCCTGCCTCCGCAGGGCCCTACACCCGCGAGGCCGGCTTCTGGGCCTACTATGAGGTGAGAGCTGGGGGCCAAAACATTCATTCACGCAAGACCAAAATGTTAAGCAAAGTTAGATATCAGTTTTTCATTGTTATTCCAAATATGCTGTACAACGGAGACCTTTGCATGAGTTTTTCACTAAACAAACTCCCTTTTATGTGTTTGTTAAGATCTGCACCTTCATAAATGGCGCAACAGTTGAGATGATTGCAGACCAGATGGTTCCCTATGCCTACAAGGGCAATGAGTGGGTTGGATTCGACTCCAGGCAGAGCTATGAGACCAAGGTCATTTCACCTAATCAGTTAACATAATATAGTAATTTAGATATGAAAATATTTTTGCCCATAGTCATTAAAGTGGTCAACAAAAAGTCTGGTACGATACTTAAGGTTTAATAAAACTTCTGTGACATATCCTCTAAATATATGCACCCTCTGTCTCTATGTCTCTGTCTATCTACCGCTGTCTCCTCATTCGATCCCACAGGTCCGCTACATGAAGGACAACAAATTTGGCGGTGCCTTCGTGTGGGCCCTGGATCTTGATGACTTCGCCAACCAGTTCTGCGCTGAGGGCAACCACCCTCTGATGGGACACCTGCGCAACCTTCTTGACATCAGTAAGTCTGAAGTTTTAGTGAAGGAGCAAACCTGATATTCAAAAACTGAAGTGTAATCTGAAATGGACCACCTACTAGACCAGATTATCCCACTGTGTGATGGGCCACTATGATAAATCCAGTCAGATTAAATAATGTTACGAAATGTCATCACTGTTTCATCACCTCAGCTCTGTCTTTCATAGTAAAACCCGCTCTCCTTTTATTTTTCCTCCCATCCAGAACTACCCCCTCTGCCCCCTACCACCACCCCCAAACCTGGCTCAGTCACCACCACACGCCCCACCACCACCACCGTCACCACCCACGCCCCTGGGACAGGTTTCTGCAACGGCAAGCCTGATGGCATCTACGCCAACCCAGACGACATCACCACCTTCTACATGTGCGCCCATGGCAACACCCACCTCAACACCTGTGGCAACGGTTCCGTCTTCGACCCCAGCTCCAAGGTCTGCGTGTGGCCTTAAGCGTGTTGTGCGGGAGTGAGGGAGTGAAATAGCATCGCTAATGCCAGCATTGTATTTACCAACTTTAAAGGCGCAGTGCAGTCAAACATTTAATTTCCTGTTGTTTTTTAAAATTATATTTCTACACTATGAGGTCGAAATAACACTTGGAAATTGTGAAAATTATGATAATGCCCTTCTAGTGTATGCCTGGAATTTCAGCCTGTTCAGGTGGGATGGTGTTTTTGGCCCACAACCTGACATCACAATCTGATCAGATTTTTCTGACCAATGACTAGCCATCTTTTATTTGCATATGTATCCTCCTACTTTGAAGGGGTATGTCGGGTAGGCTCTAGTGTCTAGACCATAGAGATTCTATTAAATTAGTATCCTAATTGTATGGTCTAGATTATCCTATCCACCAATCAGGGCTGTGTATGTAAATATATTTAAATTTGTATCAACACGCTCACACGATCAGACTGAGTATCTCAAACAGAAAAGGTGGCTCTGGAATATAAATGATAAAAAATACATTTCGCTATTTCATTAGTTTTTTTCATGAAACACACACACAGTGATTTATTAGACATACAGTGATGATTTAAAAATGTAATTAAAAAGACTGCATCGGGGCTTTAAAGCTGCAATATGTAACTTTTTGGTTGACCTGACCAAATTCACATAGAAATGTGAGTTATAGATCTGTCATGCTCATTGAAAGCAAGTCTAAGAAGTGGTAGATCTGTTCTATGTGTGCTATTTGTATGCATCTTGTGCTCAAGTTTTGTTTTTGCGTCTTTTACTTTCGGTTTTGTACACCAGCTTCAAACAGCTGAAAATATATTTCACAGCGGTTTAGATGGTACAATGATTCTCTACACTATACTTGCTTGTTTTGTCACATAAACTGAAATTAGGCGAACTATTAGAATTTTAGCAACCAGGAAATGACAGAGCAAGTTCTGCATCGTGCATCTTTAAGTGTTACTGTGGTGCTAAAACATGTTTTGTGGGAAGGGAAGAATGCTGTGTGTAGACAATAATTGAGATTCAATTAGTTGAGTCTCGTGCTTAGTTTTGTAGTAGTGAAAATGATTTGTTTGTTTTATTTTTTAAACACATTCAAAACAGATAATTTTCACTACTACAAAACTAAGCGCAATACTAATTTTCAAATGACATTTGATGAGGAGTCATTAATTAAAAGGGAAAAGAGACAGCTATTCAAGTAAAATAAAGACTATAGAGATACAGTATATGGCTCTGGGTTTGTAGAAGTATCACAAAACAAATGTGTTTGTCATGCTAAACCAAGAAGCCTCAAGGTAATACATGTTTTAGTGTAAGAATTCTGCTTTATCTTGTATTTTCCCTTTGTTTGACATGGTTTTTAATACCATCACTTACATTTTAGACATTTAGCAGACGCTCTTATCCAGAGCGACTTACAGTTAGTGAGTGCATACATCATTTTTTTTCATACTGGCCCCCTGTGGGAATCAAACCCACAACCCTGGCGTTGCAAACACCATGCTCTACATCCCTGCGGGCCATTCCCTCCCCTACCCTGGACGATGCTAGGCCAATTGTGCGCCGCCCCATGGGTCTCCCGGTCGTGGCCAGCTACAATAGAGCCTGGATTCGAACCAGGATCTCTAGTGGCACAGCTAGCACTGCGATGCAGCGCCTTAGACCACTGCGCCACTTAAACATGTATTACCTTGAGTCTTGCAAGTCACAAATGAATGTGGCCTGGCACAAGGCAAAAGGAAAGGGGAGTGAAAACATTGTAGAAAACACCTTCAAATGTTGGTGTTGGAGTCTTCAGGGATGGGGCACCTTGCATTGTGAATTACATACAGTTGAATACAAGCGTTGAAATTCCTCATATCCAAACATCCATGAAAAACATCCCAGAGAGATTTTTTTTTAAACCATTGCAATCTCAATCAAATGCACATACACACAGCAATTTAACACAAAACACAAAATAAAACATTTATTTAGAAATAAATGGCAGTGTAATATTCCTTAGTTCACAAAAAATTTTGGACTGACAGACGTCATGACATTGTAGGTTATGTTTCTATGTGCAGGACAGTATACAACAGCCCTTAGCTATGTGAGCAGCAGTCGGGCTGACAGCATAGTCCTGAGGAAGTGACATAGGGATTACAAGCATCCTGCTACCCAACACGATGCAGGAAGTGAGAACCATTCAGCCAGCATGACAGACGACACATCCACCAACACCTGCTCCTCAAGAGTCACTCCAGGTCACTATAACAACAGTATAGACAACTGACTGACATCAAAATCAAACTTGAACGCGTACACTGCTTCAAACAGAGAGGACATCGATACAAGCGCCCAATCGTTGCCAAATTCTTATCCTTTAAAGACAAAACAATGGTCAAAAGCCTTGGTAAAAGACTCACTGGCATGAAAATAGGCATGAACGATCAGTTACCTAAGGAAATCGCAGAATGTCGCAAAGTACTGTACCCACTCTTCAAAGATAATAAACTTAAAGGGAGGCGTGTAGCTCGCATAGTTGATAAACTATACATTGATAAGCAACTGCTCCAGGACACCAAGACAACTCCATGGCTGTTCTAAATAATAGAAAGTTCCCATAGAAGGGACAAATAATGAAACAACCTACACCAGTGGAGGCTGGTAGGAGCAGCTATAGGAGGACAAGCTCAATGTAAAGGCTGGAATGGAATAAATGGAAAGGTATCAAACACATCAAACATATGGAAACCACATGTTTGACTCCATTCTATTGATTCCATTCCAGCCGTTACAATGAGCCCGTCCTCCAATTGCTCCTTCCACCAGCCTCCACTGCCCTACACTATACACATCTAGGATTGTCTTTAGAATCTGGAAAAATTAAAAAACATAATACATCTGATAAAGATAATAACAACAAAATCTGGGAATGTTTTAAAAACATTTGTTTTTATATTTATATACAGTGAGATGGGAGAACCTTCCAGAAGGACAACGATCTCTGCAGCACTCCACCAATCAGTCCTTTATGGTAGAGTGGCCAGACAGAAGCCACTCCTCAAAAAAAGGCATATGACAGCCCGCTTGGAGTTTGCCTAAAGGCACCTAAAGGACTCTCAGATCATGAGAAACAACATTCTCTGGTCTGATGAAACCAAGATTGAACTCTTTGGCCTGAATGCCAACCCAGCTTACAAAATTACGTTCCAGGACGTGACAACAAAGTTATTTTTGTCCCCACATAAGTCATGATAACGTTATTGTGAAACTTACAGACGATGTTCCAAAATGTATTTCTATCATTACGATTGTAACGTTTTATGAAGACAAACCATAGCTCTAAATATAACGTTATGAAATGTTCCTAGGATATCTACAAAATAACATGATATTCAGAGCCTTTCATGGACTACCAAGGAACGTTTTTAATGTTCCCATGATGTCTGCATAGTGACCTGATATTTATAACCTCTACAATACTTATTAGAAACAATATGAATGTGCCTATAATGTCCCAAATGGGCTATGACATTCAGTACCTCTGGAAGACTTAAGGGGAATGTTACAAATGTCTCAGTTACGTTCCTTGTTAGCTGGGAAGCATCACGTCTGGAGGAAACCTGGCATCATCCCTACGGTGAAGCATGGTGGTGGCAGCATCATGCTGTGGGGATTTTTTCAGTGGGAGACTAGGGCAAGGTTCACCTTCCAACAGGACAACAACCCTAAGCACACAGCCAAGACAACGCAGGAGTTGCTTGGGGACAAGTCTCTGAATGTCCTTGAGTGGCCCAGCCAGAGCCTGGAGTTGAACCCGATTGAACATCTCTGGAGAGACCTGAAAGCAGCTGTGCAGCTACGCTCCCCAACCAACCTGCCAGAGATTGAGAGGATCTGCAGAGAAGAATGGGAGAAACTCCATAAATACAGGTGTGCCAAGCTTGTAGCGTCATACCCAAGAAGACCCGATGCTGTAATCGCCGCAAAAGGTGCTTCAACAAAGTACTGAGTAAAGGGTCTGCATACTTACGTAAATGTAATATTTCAGTTTTACACATTTCCCAAAACCTGTATTTGCTTTGTCATTATGGGGTATTGTGTGTAGATTGATGAGGGAGAAAAACAATTTAATCCATTTTAGAATACGGCTGTAATGTAACAAAATCAGGAAAACTGAAGGGGGCTGAATACTTTCCATACCTTTTGACCTATTCCCCATTTTTTTGTGTTACAGCCTGAATTCAAAATGGATTAAATTGATATTTATTTTCTCACCAATCTACACACAATACCACATAATGACAAAGTGAAAACATTTTCAGTTACATACAGTACCAGTCAAAAGTTTGGACACAACTACTCATTCCAGGGTTTTTCTTTATTTATAAAAAAATTTACATTGTAGAATAATAGTGAAGACATCAAAACTAGGAAATAACACATATGGAATCATGTAGTAACCAAAAAAGTATTAAACAAATCAAAATATATTTTAGATGTGACATTCTTCAAATAGCCACCCTTTGCCTTGATGACAGCTTTGCACACTGTTGGCATTCTCTCAGCCAGTTTCATCATAGCGCTTGATGGTTTTTGCGAATGCACTTGAAGAAACTTTCAAAGTTCTTGAAATGTTCCGTATTGACATGTCTTACAATAATGATGGACTGTCGTTTCTCTTTGCTTATTTGAGCTGTTCTTGCCATAATATGGACTTGGTCTTTTACCAAATAGGGCTATCTTCTGTATACCCCCCTACATTGTCACAACACAACGGATTGGCTCAAACGCATTAAGAAGGATATAAATTCCACAAATTAACTTTTAAGAAGGCACACCTGTTAATTGAAATGCATTCCAGGTGACTACCTCATGAAGCTGGTTGAGAGAATGCCAAGAGTGTTTAAAGCTGTCATCAAGGCAAAGGGTGGCTATTTGAAGAATGTCACATATAAAATATATTTTGATTTGTTTAACACTTTTTTGGTTACTACATGATTCCATATGTGTTATGTCATAGTTTTGATGTCTTCACTATTATTCTACAATGTAAAAAATAGTAAAAATAAAGAAAAACCCTTGAATGAGTAGGTGTCCAAACTTTTGACCGGTAGTGTATATGT